GAACCCTTTGGGTCGGCAGGGGATCGAAATCAAGAAGAGGAAAAAATCATCCGACCCATTCCTCCTTAAATCCATAATTGGAGATATATAGATCAGTTTTGGTAAGAACTCAAGAAAAAAACTTCAAAAAATTTTCTCAAATGTTTTGATTTTGTTTTTTGCTCTATTTTTCTGGCATTTAAATTTGAGAGGGAAGATTAGAAAGTATCCAACTCAAATAGTTCAGTCAAACAACTCCACTCGGTATAGACTTATAGACTTTTCGGAACTTCCCCTGAAGTGTCTAGGATTAATCGCGTCGGAATTCATCGTTCTTTCCTGTTTCGCAAATTAGTCGAAACAAAAACTAACCCACTAAAAAGTTTTCATCATAAAAAGTCAGCCAAAAACCTACAACACTAACACGCGCCCCATGTTATGGTTGGCCAGAGTGATCTAAACAATTTTGTGTTCTAGACTACTACGTAATTTTCATCATAAGAATTGAATGAAAAGGTTAGGTTCGTAAGACTTCTTTCAAACGATAAGTACACCAACCAATTTTGAAATAATTATTGAAATCATGCTTTTATTCAGATAAGAAACATTGATGATTAGATTTGTCAAGTTTCAAGAATCAGCAGCAATTGAGAAATTACCCTAAAAACAGCCATATTTGTACAGCAAAACTAAAGTCGATTTGTGAATGAAATTAAAAGATGTTTAAATAAGTCTCAAACATTAACCGGCACGTCACAATTTGTTCATAAAATATGCTTTATAAGATTTTCGAAAAAATTTTTCAAGCCTTTTCAAGTGACATGATTTACAATATTGAAAACAAGCTCTAACTCATGAAAAAATGTTTGTTAAACGCTTCTTTTTTGTTAAATTTGTGTCTCAATAGCCAAAACATGTGCGATATTTAAGTTAAAAAATGTGCCATATTTGAGAACAAAATGACCCGATTCAATTGCAAAAAACATCAAATTCATAAAATGGATCAATGTGGACGAGTACTTCTCGAAATAAATAAAAAACTAATCCAAAAGATCTATTGGTTTCTGGAAGTGTTTTAATAAGATACTGCACTTAATTCCCAAAAAAGTTTACTTTTTACTCGCGCAAGAAAATTAATAACAATAAATTAAATTTTTTAAATTTTATCTCATGTGGATATTTGAGAAAGAAACACATGAAACACAAATAAACAAGACTAGCGTGTAACGCACTTCCTCTGTTTCAAAAAGATAAGTAAGAGTGAAAAAAGCTTTTATAGAAAGTATATGAAAAAACAATCAAATTAAAGCAACTATAACAATAGACGGGGGTACCTAGCAATTATAAAAAGATCAATTAAAAAAATTCCACCTAAATGTTTATTGCACTTAACAAGTCAAATCTCCAAATCTACTGGAATTTAGGTCTTCGTTATTTTATTCCATAAACAAAACCATAAAATGGCCGACAGCATACAAAAGCACTCATTAAAATTTTGAAAAACTTGAAACTATTTCAGCCACAAAATCAACAAACTCATGAAAAGGATTCATGATCCAGCGAAATTAATTTTAAAATATCAGAATGTCTGACTCTTTTTTTTTTAATTCCAAATTTTAAAAATACTCTGTTAATAAAATTGGAAAAAAACTTTTTGCGCAAATTGAAAATTTGAGAAAAAAATTATGATGGGTTTCCCCATCTGCAACTGAACCTGACACCACCCCATCAAAGAGTCCACAATTTCAAAATTTTTTAACCTATTATTTGGATTTTTGAAAGTTTTCTCAAAACATAAAAACGATATATCTTAGAAATTAAAATGCATTGAGCAGTCGTTTTTTGAGACCAGATAACATCCGTAGAGCATCTTGAGAGCAGCTTTGTGTTGAGAAACATATAAAAAATTCGAACTTTGTGAAGATGTCTCAAGATTTTTTATAATTTTATGAAAAAGCGTAAAAAACTTCACATCTTGGACACAAGATCTGCAGCCTCTGAGAGTACTTTGAGACAGCCCACAATAGGATTGCAAATTTCAAATTTGAAAAGTCTTATCTTTATTTGACTTTTTTAGAAAAGTTTTGAAAAATATTGAAAAAAATTCAGATCTTGGTAACCAAAAGCATTTGAGCAGTCACCTTTGGAAGCAAGATTTGCAAGTCTTGAAACTACTTCGACATCACCTCATTACAATATTGGAACTTTCAAATTTAGTGAAATATTTTAAACCCAAGTTTTCTGACTTTTTGGAATAATCACAGAATACGTCATATCTCTGCATACAAAAAATTTTGAGCAGTCAAATTTGGATGAAAGATTTTGAACGCCTGAGGATATCCTGACAGCACCTTGCACTATAGAGTTGAGAAATTCAACCTTTGTCAAGTTTTTTATACCTAGGTTCTTTGATAAAAACGTGACATCTCGGGAACTAAGAGGATTTGAGCAATCGAAATTGGTACAAAGATGTGCAGCCTCTGAGAGTACTATGAGATCGTCCCGCTTTAGGATTGGCAATTTTAATTTTTTTTTAATTCTTTGACAAATTTGGAAAAAATGTTGAAAAAACGTCCTATTTCAAAAATTAAAGGCATTTGAGCATTCAGCTATGCAGAAGTGATTTGCAACCCCTGGAAGTACCTCGACAGCACCTGGCTACAGGGTTGGGATTTTCAAACTTTGTGAAACTTTTTGAATCCAACTTTCTGAAAAATTTCGATAAAATCATCAAACGCGTCATATCTCGGAAACCAAAAAGATTAGAGCAGTCACAATTAGAAGCAAGGTTTGCATAGCTTGATATTACTCTGATAGCACCTCACATTATAGATTTGAGAATTTCAACTTTTGGCAAGTTTTTTATACCCTTGAGTTTTTTATACCATTTGCAACCCTTGAGAGCATTCTGACAGCACCTAAATCAATCATTGCGAATTGCAAAATTTTCGAAAGTTTTATGAAAAATTTCGAAAAAATCAAAGAATTGTCGTATCTCGTGAATCTTAACAAATGTGGGTTTTCACATTTGGAGGCCCGAGCCGCAACACTTGGGGAACCCTAACAGCATCCAACTAACGGGTTGCTTATTTCAAACTTGGTGAAAAAACACTGAATTCAAGCTAGAAAACTGTCAGCATGAAAAAAAAATTAAGCATGCGAAAATAACCCGTTGAAAAAGCTTAAACATGGGAAGATAGTGAAGCCCGATTTTAATTTCTAATCAACTTATTCAACAACACAAAAAATAAATAAAAAAACTCGTAAAAGAAGTATCAATGGCGAATTGAAGACCGGGGGCGCAGAGCCCCTCTCACTGATTTGACCAATTACCAACCAATTTGGCTATTGTTTACATATTTTGAGGATAGCGCAAGCCAAAAAAAATGACTTTATGTCCAAATCGAAAAACAGCTCAACAACAAAACGCTGTTTTTTTCAGTAAACTTCCAGCAGCGCAGACAATTTTGCCAATATCGGTCTCTGTATCATTCGAGGAGAGCTCGGGAAAATTTTTTTTTTGACCTATAAAAGCTGGACATCCTAGATTCTAGATCCGCTGATTCAAAAAGACCCTGAAAAAATGAAAATTAATGAAAAATAGGGCATCAAAACCCTCTTTGACTTTAACTTCGAGACGCTAAATTTGGAGCTTTTTAAAGAGATGATAAGCAAAACGTTTCTCCGCACGTGCAATTGACGTAAACGGTGAATTAAGAAAACTTTAGGACAGCCAAAACTAGCCAAAGTAGGCTTGAAAAAGTGGCAAAAAGAGGAGCCAAATTTCGAGTAGCCAAAATGAGTCGAGCCGATCACTTCGCAACTAAGACAATCTGACCAAATAAACATATATTAAGTTTTTTCCAAAGAATACATATATTCAAACTATCACCTAATTCAGCGGAGATTTAGTTTATCAGTTCCAATTTGCAGGATATAACAAGTTCGTCGTGCCGGTTGAAATACTCGTTGGTTTCTTTTTTCTTGTTCGGACTTTTGTCCATCAGGTATGACCATAATACTTCGACTACTTCTATCGTAGACTGTTTCTGCATTTCGACTACAGCAATTTGATTGAGCTTTGGTTTAGAAGAAGTCACAATTAGAAGCAAGGTTTGCAACGCTTGATATTACTCTGATAGCACCTCACATTATAGATTTGAGAATTTCAACTTTTGGCAAGTTTTTTATACCCTTGAGTTTTTTATACCATTTGCAACCCTTGAGAGCATTCTGACAGCACCTAAATCAATCATTGCGAATTGCAAAATTTTCGAAAGTTTTATGAAAAATTTCGAAAAAATCAAAGAATTGTCGTATCTCGTGAATTTTAACAAATGTGGGTTTTCACATTTGGAGGCCCGAGCCGCAACACTTGGGGAACCCTAACAGCATCCAACTAACGGGTTGCTTATTTCAAACTTGGTGAAAAAACACTGAATTCAAGCTAGAAAACTGTCAGCATGAAAAAAAAATTAAGCATGCGAAAATAACCCGTTGAAAAAGCTTAAACATGGGAAGATAGTGAAGCCCGATTTTAATTTCTAATCAACTTATTCAACAACACAAAAAATAAATAAAAAAACTCGTAAAAGAAGTATCAATGGCGAATTGAAGACCGGGGGCGCAGAGCCCCTCTCACTGATTTGACCAATTACCAACCAATTTGGCTATTGTTTACATATTTTGAGGATAGCGCAAGCCAAAAAAAATGACTTTATGTCCAAATCGAAAAACAGCTCAACAACAAAACGCTGTTTTTTTCAGTAAACTTCCAGCAGCGCAGACAATTTTGCCAATATCGGTCTCTGTATCATTCGAGGAGAGCTCGGGAAAATTTTTTTTTTGACCTATAAAAGCTGGACATCCTAGATTCTAGATCCGCTGATTCAAAAAGACCCTGAAAAAATGAAAATTAATGAAAAATAGGGCATCAAAACCCTCTTTGACTTTAACTTCGAGACGCTAAATTTGGAGCTTTTTAAAGAGATGATAAGCAAAACGTTTCTCCGCACGTGCAATTGACGTAAACGGTGAATTAAGAAAACTTTAGGATAGCCAAAACTAGCCAAAGTAGGCTTGAAAAAGTGGCAAAAAGAGGAGCCAAATTTCGAGTAGCCAAAATGAGTCGAGCCGATCACTTCGCAACTAAGACAATCTGACCAAATAAACATATATTAAGTTTTTTCCAAAGAATACATATATTCAAACTATCACCTAATTCAGCGGAGATTTAGTTTATCAGTTCCAATTTGCAGGATATAACAAGTTCGTCGTGCCGGTTGAAATACTCGTTGGTTTCTTTTTTCTTGTTCGGACTTTTGTCCATCAGGTATGACCATAATACTTCGACTACTTCTATCGTAGACTGTTTCTGCATTTCGACTACAGCAATTTGATTGAGCTTTGGTTTAGAAGAATGATTAACAATCGTCGTTGTTATTTTGAAGATATTTTTCGATTTCACTGATTCCGCATGCTTCTTGTGTATATACACTTGAATTGCCTTTGAAGCGGATATCGAACTATTGGACAGTTTTAGAGAGTAACCAACCCAAAATTTTTGATCACAAAAAGATTTTTCATCGGACCAATAAATTCTCTCGCCCATTGCCTTGTTTTTAACACCCGCAAAAGTCTCAGAGAAAGTGATCGGCTCTGCAGATAACGGGACTTTCTTAATTTCGCTCTTTGTTAGCGTCGGTTTCACGACTCTTGTCAGTGCAGTGCTTTCTAAATTAGCGGCAATTATGGGTAATTTTGGTGTCATAAAGTAGGCCAGGAAATATTGAATGTCTGCATACGAGCATTCTCCGGTCCCTTTGGCAAAGTTTGAAATTTCACCGTAAATGCTTGATATGGTTTTGTTAGCTTCAACAGATTCTTGGACTTGCTGTAGATTTGATTGACAGCTATTCAGTTCATCTTTGAGGTGTTCTATTCGTGAGCTCAATGCACTTGTCACCTCTTCACCTAAAACCAAAACTGGGATAGCAACTTTCTCAAAACATGACCAAATAAACATATATTAAGTTTTTTCCAAAGAATACATATATTCAAACTATCACCTAATTCAGCGGAGATTTAGTTTATCAGTTCCAATTTGCAGGATATAACAAGTTCGTCGTGCCGGTTGAAATACTCGTTGGTTTCTTTTTTCTTGTTCGGACTTTTGTCCATCAGGTATGACCATAATACTTCGACTACTTCTATCGTAGACTGTTTCTGCATTTCGACTACAGCAATTTGATTGAGCTTTGGTTTAGAAGAATGATTAACAATCGTCGTTGTTATTTTGAAGATATTTTTCGATTTCACTGATTCCGCATGCTTCTTGTGTATATACACTTGAATTGCCTTTGAAGCGGATACATAACAATCTATCTTTGTATTTTAAGCCACCCAAAATTAAGCAAGTAAATCGATATAGGATAAACCAAACCCATTCAAAAAAAGAAAAAAGATAATTATACAAAATCGAAGTTGTTAAACTTACAAACTACGGACCGACTCTCGATTATAGTTAGATCTGCTTATAAAAGATGCTTAGATAAAATTCCATGCGTTGGACCGTAGGCCGACAAAAAATAAGCTGACAAACGATAGTCCGACAATTGAAATTTTCCAAAACGATTACTTCTTGACATGAAAAAAAACTAGGTTCGACCGGGACTGGAACCCGAGACCTTATGCTCCAAAGGCGCATGCTTTACGTCAGGACCAAACATGAAGGGGGCCTGAAAGGCGTGGAGGTTTCACAATAAAGCAACGTATACACATATAACTAAATATACTCACGACGGAATCCCAGACCTATTTCCTGTGAGAAATTCATTTACGGAAAAAATTCTAGTTCCCGATTACTTGCTATCGGAAGTGTAATTAAATCCACTGAATTAAAAAAAATTTGACAATTGTCGAAAAAACGATTGGCAATTGTCTCCAGAAAAACACGCAGCAATACAATTACCCGGTGAAATTAGTCCTCGGAAGCATTAAGCGAGGGGCAACGAAGCAGCCATAACTTGAATAAACTCCCGTAAACCGATAAAAGATAAGTCGAAACAATTCAAATCGAAGATAAACCAATTCAGAGGGGAAAAAGTCAAAGCTAGTAAATTAAAACTACACGAGTAACTTAAAAATGCTTGCAGATACAATGAAATAGCTAACAGACAGTTGGAAAAAAGTCAATGAACGCAAGTAAACAAAAAAAATTTGACTTGTTTTTTGAAAAAATCTTTCAAATCTCTAAGACAAAAATATAGTCTTAAAGCTCTTTGAACTTTAAGAACAACTTATGATCAGCACTTTTTTGATAAAATTAACTCGATTTGAGAAACCTGGATCAACCGGTATAAATTTTATTTCGTAGGAAAATCTGATAATTGAATTCCATTTTTGAAAATAAAAGTCGATCATGTTTTTGCTACCTTTACACTTTGCTGTTCGATAGTGGAGTTTGCCTTCCTTTTAACATAGGAAATGAACAGAACGAAACAAAAAAAATCAAAGACAAACGGCGAAAAAGTAAATTTGAGCCTGAACTAATTTTAAGACTCTTCCTGAAAAAAACCACCTCGCGACCTATATAAGAGTCTGAATTGCTTTCATCGGCTCTCAAAAAATGCTTAAAGCACAACAACAATCCGTGATATGGCAACTAAGCAGGCAAAACATAATCAGACAAACGAGAGGCAGTCACTTTTTAAAGGGAAGTTTCAGTTTGCAAAAAAGAGAGGCCCTAGCGAGATTCGAACCAAGGACTTTTGCCACAAAAACCACAAAATTTGAATTATACGAAATTATAAATCAAGCTATCAGATTTTTCAAGTGATTTTGTTAAACAAGTTGTTAGCCTGAAAAATGTCTAAGAAACACTGGAGGTTTCCTACAAAATGGGCTCACTCTTGGCTTTCTTGGATATTCGGAAACTAAAATTTACGTCTTAATTCTCTCATCTCCAATCATATAATTGAGAAAATCACCTGTAATAACAAAAGCATCCAACTGAGACTTGCTCTTGCCATCAATTTTCTCTCGAACAAGGTTCTGTAAATGTCTCCTGAACGTGCATACCGAATGACGATTGTGATATACTATCATACAATCATCACAGAAAGAACCTTTGCAATCGTTACACCAGAAAGCGACAGAGCCGCAGAAAAAACTGGATCTTGTGCACTTCGGTGGCTTGAACAGCAATTGCTTTCGAAGCGAACGGTTCTCTGCTTTCGTTTTCTCTAGCTCTTCCTGAAGTTTTTGATGATTCGCCAAACAGTCTTTGATACCATACAAAGGATTCAAACTTGAGATCAACAACTTATGCGAAGTTCCACAGAGCGCGCAAGTTATTAAGTCAGCACTTTTTCCCATTGTCTGAAGACAGGTTTTCGGAGGACCGCAAAAAGAATGTCCACAAGGTAACGCCCTGGGGTCTTCTATTGCATCAGTACAAATAGCGCAGTCCATATCAAAAACTAAAAGTAGTTTGTAGTTTTTGATAAAAATCAGTCATCAATTTCTAAATTAGATAGAACAAAGGATCGAACAGAAGCAAAAAGAAACATTATAACATAAGACAGACAAAGATAAGAGCATTTTTACCGTGTCACGTTGAAATGTACGATTTCGTCTGCTATCTTGCGTTGATTCTGCATAAAATAGGTAAATTAAAAGTATTGATTTTTTGTATTTTATACATAGGCGCATTTGCAATCGGCCTACATATTTGAAAGCTGCTACCATAATTATCGCTCGCAAAAATTGACTAGAAATTAGCCAGAAAATTGCAAAAAAAATGTATAACAACTTATTTAGTTAGAATTGAGAGAAGTCGAGTTCCTTGATACTTAAGTCATTTTCAAATCGACTCGCTCTGGACATAAGGAAAAGAAAATTGAATTATTTTCAATTAAACATCTGAGTATTTCTTCAAGAACTGAAAATTCTATATAATGTTTCTAAAATATGCTATTAATCTCCGTTCTATTTACTACTGTGTTTGATGAAAAAACTATTTCAATCGCATGTGGGTATCGATAACCCCATGGATATTAATTCCAAATCCGTGATCAAGCAGAATAGCTCATACTTGGGGCGCCTAATGATCCCAGTCGAAATTAGGGAAAACATCTGACTTCGAAATCATGAACTCATCAATGATTTCGTCCTTCACGACTGAAAACTGTCGTATCTTCAAGGTCAATTTATCCTCCACACCCATGAGGGTAAAGCCGTAATTGTTCGACCTGAAAAAAGACCACTTCGGTTTCGGAATCGTGAACGGATCATGGTCCTCGCGACATCCCGCCGCGCCAGTGACCACGTGAACAGGATATCTAGTGTCCATATACACACTAGCATTCTTCACTTTCTGGTACGCATAGTCATATATTGGGTAGAGTCGTTCGTAATCGTGTTCGTGTGCGTAGAATTGAAGGTCGACTCCGTTTTTGAAAAAGAGGTCCTCCAGTTTGTACAGTTCGTGCTCGTATCCAGTTCGCATGATAGAGTCGTGCTTTGTGCAGTCGTCTCCGTCGTGGCTGCTGCAGTACATGGGCCGGTGGGCCATAGCCACAATCCAAGGATGCTCGTTTCGCGCCTGTTCGGTATTGGCTTTGGCGAGATCGTCAACAAGCCAGTTATATTGGGCCTACAAATTGAAATCTCGGAACTCGAATTCGGATTGACTAAGCGTACTTAGCGAGTTTAAAAAATTGATTGATGATAAAGAATTTCTTTCGAAAGAAAGCGTTTTATTTCCGCCAAAAAAAACATGATTATTCAGTTTTGAACACTCTTATACAGATTTTTCAATATCTTGTGACAATGTTTCTTTCTTTGTTCTTATGTATATCACGGAGGTGTTATTGTTTCTTTACATAATTAGTGTTGAAAAAGCATCCTTAAATTATTTCGCAAGTTTCTGAAAGCGGAACAAGAGTAACCTGGAGTTGTCCCAATCCGTAATTAGTGTAGAAATAGAACTCGGAGCTGAACAAGACGAAATGGATTGGGCCCACGTCGAAGCTGTTGTAGAACACACTGGGTCCTGGAGAAGTGAACCTTCCAGAATATTCTGTGAAATTGTTGAATTCTTCGTGGTTGCCCACAGCCACGTTGTATGGCACTCTACTGGCTACGGGTTGAATCATGTCCATGAACACGTCGCCCTATAACACCATAGATTGTTCTTCGTTAGACTTCAACTTTTTAATATTTATTGCGACACTCCACTGTGCCAAGTTGCAATCTTAATAGTGTTTCTTTCAACGTTTTGATGATATATCGAACAATTCAAAGAGACGGGCAGGATTTTCCCAATACTTAAAATCTCGATCAACAAAATCAAACCAAGCGAATCAACCATTTGTAAAAAGAGGTTAAAGAATTTTAAACATTTATTTTCCAAATTGTGTCGTGCTAACTACTGGAATAGGGCGCATTTTTAATGGACTACTAAAAACTGGATTGACCGAATAAAAAGTCGCTCGCAAGCTCACTTGGAGGAAAAGAAACGAAGTCAAACACAAGCAAAATGAAGCCACTACCTTTGATCTTTCATTAGATTTGCATCACTTGCGATACAAAAGTAGTGAAACTATTCCAACACAGAGGCGAACCGGAGCTTCGCATCACTTACAATGCAGTTAAAACATGCGCAACAAAAATGACAGAAGTGGATTTTTTTTCTTCAAAAATTAGGTTGAAAAATTAATTTGAACCTGCAAACATTTCATGTCTGGTAAATTTAGAAATAACAGAACGTTCAATTGTAGTATAAACTTTAGAAATAAAAAAACCCATGTTTTGGAGAAAATCAAAAAAAATCGTACCAGATAATATAAATGTCGCTTAAAAAAACGGAAAATCAACCGACGGAAACCATGAAGAAGGCCACAAATCTGAAAAAATTAACATTTGATCAAAAATTTTGTTTGAAAAAAAAACATAACCTGAAACGAACTCTGTAAGTACTGACTTACCTAAATGATTTTATAAAAAGGTTTTTATAAATTAAACAGTTTTTTCAATTTATTAAAATATTGAGCATGTCAAAAGCCTGCACGTGAAATTTACCACTCCTACTCTAAATTGACCATTCTGTGAACAAAGTTATTTACAGCAAAATAACGTTATTATCTAGTACCCGGTAGCCAAAACCTTTGCTGATCGAAAGGGTAAGAATTAAATTTAACGATAGCCGGTTGTTGTGCAAATAGCACATAATACTCCGACCACAAAAGAATCGTGGCTAATATAACGTTAAAAATGAATTCGAATTGATTTGGACAGCCAACTTTCTCTAAATTCATCAAATTTCGTCTAAATAAGTCTAGAAACCGAAAATATTCAGACGAGTTTCCCGACACTGAGAGAACATTTTGGAATCCAAATTACGTTTAAACTGGATTTAATATGATGTCACACTTGATTTCCTACAATTTTTGATTGAGGTTGCCAAAATTGGCTGAAAAAAAAACGAACCGAACCCAGGGTTCCTTTCCACTCTTGGTCAGAAAAACAACCATTGGAATTGTTACATAATAGAATTCACGTGAAACAAAAACCTTTTCTCGGAAAACAAACAATGATAAACGATGAGTACACAACCATACATTAACTGCTAGTAGATAACAAATTCACTCGAATTACGCAATTATACCTTACAAAACGTAGTATACCAAAAAAAAAGTTTACTTCCCGATGAAAAACACTTGCCTTTGCAAGAGATAAATAAACTATACTAACAAAAACATGCCCTCTAAAATCATCATCATCATCATCATCATCACATATGTTATTTCGACACTAATTTCTTGAATTCAAAGGTGTTTGAGTTTAATTAAAAACCAGTTTTGTCGTATAAATAATCAGTCGCTCCGCTAAAGATGAGTTCGTTTCTGTCGATAGCCGTACCCACTCTAAAATTAGCTGGGATTTAAACAGAAAATGATCTTTGAAGATGGTTAAAAATCGGACCCGCTCTAAAATGAGCTGGGCGTTTCATCGTCGTCGCCTTCTTTGCCTTCGTTTCACAGCCATTGGATTTTCTATGCTTCTGAAGGCGTCATGAAAGTCCTTAGCAAGTTCGCGCACGCCATTTGCTGTGGGGTGAAGTCCATCTGCGCAAACATGCCTCCGATTGCTGAACTTTACAGTTTTAAAGAGCAGGATTTTATACCATGCCGTTAGATTTCTGTAGCATTTATTCACTCTCCTGATAAGAGAGCGTTCACCTTCCCGGCTAATAAGTGACATGACGCCAACTTCGAAATTGCAGTCAAGGAGTCTAAAAATAGCACTCTCCATCTCCTCGGCTACTTCAGTCGCTCCCAATGACTGGCGCCCTGAACGGTCAAACAGGTTGTTTGTTCCTCCCATTATGAGCACTGTTTGTACATCCAAGTTTTTCATATCATTGAGAACCTGATCGCTACAAAGGGTTGAGAGAGTTCCACCAGGGCACGAAACTGTCACGGAATCTGGCAGAAAAATCCCATAAACTAGCGATGATCCCAAAACAGCATATGTCACTCTCTTGATCTTATCAGAGCTCAATATTATCCGTCTTTTGGGGAGAAACCTGGTTTCAACATGAACATTTCTTAGACGCAAGGTTTCGTTTAGCTTTTGAATTCCAACCTTTCTAGTTTCAGTCATTTTAGCAACCTTTAACTGAAACAAGTCTCATAGTAATACTGGTTAAACAAATACGTTTTCAACTGTTTACGAAATTCAGTTTCATTTGGTAGTTTAAGGTTACATGGTAAACTATTCCAATGGTGTGCGGCAGCAAATCTAAACGTCCTTTTTCCATAGTTCATGTTAACCAGTGGTTTGTTAATGACCATGGTCCTTTCACTGAAACGGGAGGAACTTTTTTGTAGTGAAAAATATTTACTCAGATAAGACGGAACGATTTGAGGATTGAAAATGCATTTGTGTACGATTGTCAAGACTTTAAAAATCACTCGAGATTTTATGGGCAACCAATGTAGATCATGTAGATAAGGAGTAATACTCGTTGACTTCTTCAAACCGAAAACAAATCTGCAGGCACTATTTTGGACTTTTTGCAACTTGTAGAGCAGATAATTTGGTAAGCTCGAGTACAAGCTATTGCAGTAGTCTAATCGACTTAAGACTAGCATTCTTGCCAACATATTTCTATTTTCAAAATCAAGGTAGAAACGTATGCTGTATAGTTTCCGGAGACTGTGGTAACTGGCGCCACACACGGAATCGATCTGTTTTTTCAATGACAAGGATCGGTCAATGAGGCAACCTAAAGACTTCACAGAGTTTTCTGTTGATTTCATCAGCTTAACCGTTGAATTTCCAATGAGTATTGAACCGTTTGTTAGACCTTTTGACTTACTAGTGGCTAGGTTAATTACTTGGCTTTTTGATTCATTTAACATAAGCCCCATGGACGAAAACCAGTTCGAAATAATAACCAGAGATCTTTCTATTTCTGCTAATTCACTCTCATTTTTAATTTCACAGTATAAAGTAGTATCATCGGCATACACTTGGTATGAAAATTTAGTTGAGCCAATAATATCGTTCAATGGTGTCAGGTAGATTGAGAACAGGAGGGGTCCCAGAAGAGAACCTTGAGGCACTCCATATTCGAGTTCTTGAGAATTCGATAAAACATCATTGATAGAAACAATTTGAGTCCGATTCTCTAGATAGGAAAGAATTAGATCCACTGCATCATTCGTCCTTCCAATCCGATTTTTCATGATCTTTCTCAATGTTTTATGATCAATGGTATCAAATGCAGCTGAAAGGTCAAGGGCTATCAAAAGGACCTGTCTCTTGTTGTCGAGACTAGTCAGTAGATCATCTGTTTTTAGCAGAGCCGTTTCAGTTGAAAAATGCTTCCTGTTAGCAGATTGGTGTTCATCTAGAAGATTATAGGAGCTAAGGTATTGATCGAGCTGTTTATATAAAATTCTTTCAAAAACTTTACTGATAAACATCAGATTCGCTATTGGTCTATAAGAATTTAAAACGTTTTGGTCAAGTTTGTGGTCTTTAAAGGGAGGAGTTATCACCGCTCTCTTGAGACACTTTGGAAATTTGGACTGATCGATGCAATTGTTTATCATAATGATGAAATAATCTTTCCACGAGTGTGCTATTCTTTTCATATCTATCGTTTTCAGTATATCTTCTCGTGAGTTCGCGTTTGAAACCATTCTTACTGCTTCTTCTAGTTCATCTATAGTCACATATTGGAATTGGAAAGAAGAAATTGCAGTGAAAGCAAAGAGTGGCGGCGAGATGCCATTACTTTTAACATTTGCCACTAAATTTCTAACCTTCTGAATGAAAAATTGGTTGAAGTTTTCAGCTAATTCATAATCACTGGAGTATATCAGTGGTAGAACGTTTTGTTGTTTTTCTCCAGCAAGGCGTTTCAATTCACGAAACTTGAGCGAATGTCTATTTGAAAGCTCAAAGCGCCTGGAAAAATATATCAATTTCTTCTCTCTAAACAGATCTTTACATTTCTTTAAATACTCCTTGAAAGCTGTTTCGTTTTCTAATCCAGGATTTACACGCATTACGCGTTCTAATTTTCTACGTTTTCGTTTTACGCCTGCTAACTCTTTATCGTAAAAATTACAAAATCGGTTTTTGACAACTTTGGTCTTAGTTGGCACATAATCAGTTTTCAGCAGCTGCAAAATTTCGATAAAATTCTCTGCCATCTCGTTCGGGTCACTGGTGTTCAGATTCAAGATTAAATTCTGATCTATTTCCGTCTCTAAATGTTTCCAGTCTGTATTGTTCCAATCATAAATACTCAATCTGGTTTTATCCTTCCGTTGAATTGCGATTTCATAAGTGAACGTCAATAGATGGTGATCAGAGTATTCAACGTGCTCATTTCTAACGGGTGAGCACAATTCCGGGTTTGAACAAATTATGAGGTCTAGAATTTTCCCGTATTCGTGAGTTGCTTTCTTAACAATCTGTTCTAGGTTATATTCCAGTAGAATCGAACAAAATGTATTGGATTTGGCACAACGTCTGTTTTCTAGATCCAAATTAAAATCACCCAGGAGGAGAATTTGGGTTTCAATTGATGAGGCAAGAATGAATATTTTCAGTCAATTCATTAAAAAACTCGTTATAATTTCCACTCGGCGGTCTATATATTGCTGCAATTGTTATTTTGACTTTTCTAGTCACGACCGTAATTACCAAGAATTCACCATCGTCCGAGAGATGGCTTAAAATTCTTTCACCCTGTAGTTCTTCGCGAGTAATTATGTCAACACCTCCACCTATTTTAGCCGTTCGTGAAACATGATGGTATCGATATTCATTTGAAGAGTCTATACACTGATTTAGAATATATTGCGTATCCGGCTTAAGCCAGGTTTCAGTTATGATCAAGATATCAACTTGTTCTATAGCCAATATGCTCTGTATTTGATTTACTTTTTTCGCTAGAGAACGTATATTAATTACACCAACTTTCATAGCATTCGATTGAGGCTCGGGTTTTTTATTTGATTTTAGTCAGTCGCTTTTCAAAGTTCTGAGCCAGGTTCTGGCTTCTGCATCAAGATAGTACCTGTTTATTACAACATTTTCCGGCCAAGAATTAGATTGATCAATGATTGTTGCATGTTCGCCGTCAAATACACAGTGGAAACTTTTGTGGCGAGAATTTTCCTTTGTTATTTCCCTGATATGATTCAGAGGAAATCCTTTACTTTGACACCATGCGACAATATCACTTTCATCATTTGTCTGTTTTATTCTTCCAACATAGAGATGGCGTCGTGGTGGTGGCTTCTCTACACCTTTGAGTGCTTCTGTTACCACTTCTCCCGTAATTAGTGGTTTCTTTGGTCTGCGGTCATTTCTATCTTTGGAGCCTTTTCGCTTCGTAACCCTCGAGCTACCAGCTTCTGAGGATACACTTTCACGAGCATTTCTGATGAATGCCGAAGAATTCAGATTAAACTTCGCTGCCCCAGCATAATTGGTTTTGTTATTTTCAATTATACTACTTGGTTCACGATATTGCTTCAGCGATAGCAGCTCAGACTTTAATTCGTGTACATCTTGCGCCATAGTCTTTATTGAGAACAGTTCTTGTCGCAGTTCATCAATAACTCGGAAAAGATCTCTTTTACAGGTTCCACAATCTGGGCAACTCCATTCAATGTGCCCAACCACCTTATCGGCAGTGTTGAGGCCAATACACGCAGAGTGGGCAGAAGCTTGACAACCGACGCATTTCACCGATTGATTGGTTAAAGCGTTTTGACGTACTGTACAGTGGAGAGACGACATATTTCAATTGTCTTGCTGGGAATTATTGGTCGTTTCCGCTCTAAAATGAGCTGGATTTTGGTAGATTTGTTTACAGATATTTCCAAATTCTCTTTGTCGTTTCCGCTCTAAAATGAGCTGGATAACATCCGGGAATTTGTTCGTGTCTTTTCTGGCTGTCGTAACCACTCTCAAATGAGCTGGTTTATCTTCTTTATCTGATTCTGTTTGTGTCAATTTCGATTTCCATCAACCGGATCTCTAAAATCCCTTCGTAGACAAGGGCTACCCAAGATAAGATGTTTATCCGGTTCGTCGAGACATATCTATCTATTTAATAAGTTTCTCACAACATGACACAGTTTTTTGGAATTTACGGTGGTGTAACAACTAGCATAAAACTCGACTAACATAAAAGTTTTTAAAAAAGAAAATCGTATCGACTAGCATTAAAGTAGAAAAAACACAGAAATCAAATATTGTGAAAATGAAATCAATATACACAAAAATATATTTAAATCACAGTTTTATCTCACATTCTAAAATTTGCACGGCCATCAGTTTTGGTTCAAGCCATTGCAGGTCGAGGTGTGACCGATCACAATTTGTGTCAAGGAGTTTCATTTTCCTCTTGATCGCTTAATTTCTCAACTTTCTATTTCTCAGAAATACAAGTTCCATTATGATTGTTGTTCTGCATTTCTGAGAAATTAAGCTACCAAAATTATGCTAGTCGATACATTTTCAAACTTTTATGCTAGTCGAGCTTTATGCTAGTCGACCGGTCACCGTAGTTAGGTTTAAACAACATACCTGCACTCCGTTTTTCTCGTTCATATCGTAGGCGAAGTCCCCTATATGCAGCACCATCTGATACTCACTCGCATTCAAGTACTGAATCAGTTTGAACATGGACACGTGATTCTCTATTCCAAAGTCTCCGTAGATCGCAAACTTGGGCTTGAACGAGTCTGAATCTGAGAATGTTTTGAAGGTGAACGAGTCACTTTTTCGGTCTCCACTTTGGACACTGTACTCTGAAAAAAGTGTTGTTATAGAAAATTGATCAGGTCACAGCACAGATTTGATAAGATATATTTTCGAAGTAGCTAGCGAATCTGATAAAACATTTTTCATACCATTTTGAAAAAAGATTCACCGCATTCAGGTCTTTAAAAGGATCTTTTCGATGATAACATTTTGATAACATTTTACTATGAAACTTAACTCTCAGCAGAAAAAAAACTGTAAATTGTTAACAAAACTATCACACGAGGAATATAAGGCGACTTGGTTTGAGCACGACGTCTTGACGGGTGTTTAACAGATCGGTACCTTAAATTCAAACGGGTCCTTGAAAAACCTTGTTCATTGATACATTCGGAAACCTAAACCACTTTTGCATTTTTTTTAGTTTCTTAGATTTTGTGCTGCAACCATCGATCATACTTCATTTTTCTAGGGACCCAACGATCATACTTTTATCTACTAGTATTCAAGGTAAAAGTGCCACTAACCGTAAACTGTGTCCGGCTCTAGTGGCTGCATAGTTGCCCTGAAGATCCACGTGTACCTATATGCCCCATCATCTTTCTCGTGACTCAGCTTGGTCTTGGACGCATCCACTGTAACTGAACTGTTCTCCCCTCCTGAAGATGCCCAAAAGGTCACTGATCCGTTGCCTTCTACGTCAGTCAAGGTGGCCCAGGTCACGAACATGGAGTCCAGTTGACCTAAGCGATTTGCTTTTGGTGTTAATGAAAATTTGAAAAACCCTCAAACCGTCCCTTCGCCAAACCAAACATTTCACTTTAGGGGGGTCAAATCTTAAACCAGAGTTTCCAGAATCGTTATCGATGTTCAATAGAAAAATAAGATTTTTTTCAAACCAACCCAAGTTTCACTGCCCGTCTAAATGCATTTTATCCCCTTTGAAAATTCTACAGAAAACTCTAAATATTCAAGAAGATTGCATCAAAGCAAAATTTAGATGGTTTTGTACTTACCAGTGTACGACAAATGAACTTGTTGAGGCGAGTGGTCAGTGTCATTGTCACAGTGAGATGAGCCCAACAAAGCGAAAATCCCAAAAACGAAAAACAAAGGATTCATTACGAATTCCCAAACCAAATCTTACGAATTTTACAGATTGTTTTTATTTCTCAGAAATAAATAAACTGATATGATTTATGATTGATCAGGGATCATCAGTTTTGCAAACTAAACCTGAACTGTGATAGCTATTTGAACAGTTCAAAACAAACAGTTAAATAAGTTTTACAAACATAAGTGCTATCCGGTGAAATCAAAAATATGCTGATTAAACTAGCGCATTCCACAAATATTAATTCAAGTTAGAAATTTAAGCATTACAAATAGCAACTCTAACCTGAGCAGAACTGGTTGTTTTAGTGACGTATCGCGCCACCTATGCAAACTATGGCTCTGCTGAACTAGAATCAAAATGATTGCTTTCGCAAATACTTTTGGTATCGTGTTTATAAATAGATGTCACTGATTCGAGAGCATTGCGCCTCTGGTGTCAAATGCAAGCACTGCGCTTATGTTTGGAACGAAAAGTATACTGCACGCAAATCAGTGTTCACCGCTTTTTCTGTTACGAATTGTCGTCGGATACGAATGAGGGCCTCGCGGGTTACCACGCATCTCACGAGAACCCCAAAAATGGGGCGAATCCAAAACAGGGTTAAGCAAGACTGCTCATATCAGGACTAGGCCCTGAAAATTACAAATTTAGACTGATAATATCAAAGTGTTGAAGTTTGAGTCGTTTATGGAATTAGTAAGACCAATTAGCTTGCTTCAATTCAATTTGAAAGGATTGTGATTACGAATAATTTACCACGCATAAACATTTTGCGTATTGAAACAAACTTTCGAAGTACTTTTCCAGCAACAAAGTGGCACTTTAGTCTATTGCAAGCATACTCGTTCGGCACTCCCAAGATTTCTGGATCGATTCCCATACGCAGTCAACTTTCATAAAATCGATTTGAATAAAAAATCACCCCAGGCTTATATATTCTTCACTTTCGACTTTGAAAGTCGGAACAACAACGTGATTTTTTATTCAAATTCATAGCAGCAATTGGTTCGCCCCAATTCAGTTTGGAATTCTTTATTTCGCTTGAATTTTAATGAAACAAAATTTTAATCAAAGAATCGAAGTATTATTCCAGCAGCAAAGTCCCGCTTTAGTCTAGTGCAAGCATACTCGCTTGGCAATCCGAAGATTTTCAGATCGATGCCCATACGCAGTCAACTTTTCTAAAATTAGTCTGAATAAAAACACATACCCCTGGCATATATATTCCTCACTTTCTTCAAAAGTCGGAACAATAAAGCCATTAACGGAAGATTAGTTTTCGAGCCTGAAAAAGCAGAAAGAAAAACGATCAAAAACTCATTAAGAAACAAATCCAATGCCCTGCATCGGAAATCATTCAGAAGTTTCTGGAGATCTAAGCTAAATACAACAGACTCTTATAAGTATCATAAAGCGGTTGCAGCATATCTTGGTAAACAAAAAAATGTAACGTTGCCAGATGATATAAATGAAAAAAAAAACTCAAGATATGAACAATTTTTTTTGTAAATATTGGTCCAAATCTAAGTGATCAAATAGGAGTTGCGAATCCTATTTCATTAGAAAATGTTAATTATTCAATGTTCTTTCCGAGTATAAAGGAAACAGAAATAGAACAAATAATAACAGAATTACCAAATAAACTCAGCTCGGGTTATGATTGCATCAATACAGCAATAGTCAAATTATGTAAACCAATAATCACGCCATGGCTCACGAACTTTTTCAATACCTGCTACACAAATGGGTGTTATCCGAAATACTTAAAAATTGCCAAAATTTTTCCGATTCATAAAGGTGGATTGCAAGACGAATATGGAAATTATCGACCCATATCTTTGTTATCAACGCTGTCAAAAATCTTTAAGACAATTCATTTCAGATTAAGTAGTTATTTGGAAAATTGCAAGTTGCTCAGTACAAATCAATATGGCTTCCGTAGTAAATTAAGCACAGTTAAAGCGGTTCTAGATCTAACAGAAGAGGTTCGTAACCTGAGAGATCAGAAGAATAAAGCCGTTATGTTAGTTTTATTAGATCTGAAAAAAGCTTTAGACACTGTCAATCAGGTGATCTTAATTGATAAATTAGAGCGGTATGGAGTAAGAGGAAATTCGCTGGAAATTCTAAGAAGTTACTTGTCTAATAGAAAACAGTATGTTTTCCTGAATAAATTTAAAAGCGAATTGAAAGATGTTTTGTGCGGGGTGCCACAGGGTTCAGTCTTAGGACCGTTGCTCTTTTTGATCTATATCAATGACCTTCCCAGAATTGTAAGAAATTGCCGACTTACTTTGTTTGCTGACGATTCATCTGATATTAAAAACAAAAACGCTTCCCTTGATGACTTTCAAGAGGATCTAAATCGAATAGATAATTGGATGAAATTTAATAAACTTACCGTAGAAGGATCGAAGTCTAAGCTACTAATGTTTTCAAAACCTAAAGCGGATGCTATATAGTTCGCAGACACTTGTTTACAGCCCGTTGCTAGCAGCAAATACCTAGGCATTGAATTAGATAATAAACTATCCTTCATAGATCATATTGAGATTATACGAAAAAAATTAACCCACTCCTGCGGAGTTGCATACCGCCTTCGTAATGTGATGACCATTTCACAAATGGTCATGTACTACAAAACTTATGTACAACCTTGTGTTCAATATGGAGTTGTTTATGGAGCAGTTTGCAAAAGTTCATTAGATGTTATTCATAAACTGCAAAAACAATTTTTTCGTATAACTTTTCGCAAAAGTTATCGTGACTCGATAACGGATATAATGGCCAAAAGCAAAATTGCTACAGTATACGAGTTACATGCATATGAAATTCTTAAGAAAATAGTCAATGAAGAATTGTCTCAGAAATGTGAAGCTATTTTTTATTCAACGAGGTCATCAGTAAAGGGTGCTCGTATTTTACCATCAATGAAAAGTAAGCTTAAATATAACTCTGTTTCCCATCGTGTTGCCAAATTAATCAATATATTAGCCAATTGGTGTGTAACTATACCTTCCTCCTTTGAAACCCATCATTCAAAAAATGCTTTCTGTCATTCAATCTTAGATTCATACATAATAGGAAATTGCGATTTGATTGATGAATTGTATCGCTAGACTTGAACTAATCCATTCTAACTTCCCTGAGTCCTCGGTTAGACCTGATAACTTTTCGTCGAAGGTACCAGGCAGTGGACACTAGGAAGGGAAGTTAGAAAAAAGTGAACAACTGGATTACCAGCTCTTAAGAAGTGGGCCCACTTGCTCGCTGATTAAATTAACTGTCATTCTTTCGCATCCGCCCGCTGTCAGTTGTTTACCCTTGTAGGTATACGCTTGCATCATATCTCTGGTTCTCAATTTAAAGAATAAAGATCTTAAATAAATTAAAAAAAGTGATTGCACTATTTAAGTTTTTTTTTTCTTTCGCTTCAAATTTGCCTCTTTGACCTAAATTAATTATTGAACTTTTTGATCTGATGTCATATGATGTTATTCCTTTACGGGGCAACCTTCAACAAGCCTCTCGTTGGCTTTCTGGTTGTCCTATCATGAGTTATTTTTGAAATTTTGCATATTGTGTTATGATAAATTGATTACTCATGATGAATATTTAAATAAATAAATAAAATAGAAAGGATCAAAAATAGAAGATAAGTAGGACAAACCTGATGCATAAACTCCTGTACAAAAATATCTATAGAGATAGAATATAATGCCTACAAATGAGCACAAATAACTAATCTGATAGTGCTCCCGAAATAATTCTACAGAAATCATTCTACATACGCCTAGCAACCATCGAAACATGGCCCTAAACACATAAAAGGATGACCGCAGCCTAAAATACTACCTACACCAAGTCCCGGTACATCATTTCCACCGCGGGGCAGCCCATGACGAGAGACTGCAGAAGTAGAGCAGAAGAAGTCACCCTGCACAAACCCTACAAGCAACGATACATAGACACGGACAAGCGGACGATCCAAGCGGCCCCTACTGTAATAAGGGCGAAGAAGACTCAGAACACTAACTCCTGCATTGCACCAATTGCGATGACGAGCGGAAAGCCCCCTTTGAGGACTCCGAAACTAGACGTCCAACAGAAAGATACAACCACCACCATGGATTATTTGAGGAGCATTAGGGTTCAAACCCCGTCAGCACAGTAGACGGCCTCAACAACAACAAAAACAACAACAATTCATTCGATGCGATGCTGCGAGAGCCACAATATGTTTCACGCAACATCTGACAAACTAAAAAAAAAACGTTCAAGTTGAGTTATATATACATTTAAACAATTTTGACCGCCACTCCAGGTGCGATGCAAAAAATCTCGAATAGGGTCAGCTGGGGTATCATAATAATAACAAATTGAGTCATGCACGAGAGTTTAAGCATATTTCAGAAAAAGATCCGTTTCCAGAAAAAGCAGGCTGGTTTATACTTTAACTTTTTAAACCAATTACAAAGAATAGCGAAGAAAAAATGAACTTGTGCCAGAATACTTCAAGAAAAACTAACCAAAAAAGTTATCAAGGAAACAATCATAACTGTCATCGGGCAGCTAAACTTGACGTTTCAAACCCTGCATCTCTCTAAAAAACTGACAAAAAATTGGAGAAACAATCAGTTTTTGTTTCAAAATTTTTATATTTTTGGAACTGCAACGTTCTCTATTACTCATACCGCAACTAGTTATTCTTTTTCAGTATCGAAACAGTATCGAATTGTGTTCGATGAATAATCAAAAACTAAATTTTCATATTTAGTTTTTGATTATTCATCGACCACAATTTCCTATTATTACACCAAATCAAATTGTATTCTGATAAATCATTGATATGTTCCCCTAAAATGGATTGTTGTTCGAGTGGAAATTGTTCAATTTACCCAAGAAAATTAGTTTCTAAATGAATTCAAATGCACTCAAAAATCTAAATGAACTCAAAAATCGTTTGCACTTAAAGTCCAGAAACTGAAAACTGGAACCAGTAATTGTAGCCGAGTTAACTTGTGTAGCCTACTTACTTAATGCCAGGCAATGAGTTTGATAGTTTTCAATCGCCCTGTGTCCGAATACTCTTTTTTAAAGTGCACCTGTGTTTCAAGCTTGCCCTGAGTGTCGACCACATTTAAAACATGGTTTAAATGTGTTTTGAGCTGGCACGTTTTAAACATTGCAAAACTGATTGTTTGCATAACTCAATTGACTAACAAATTCGGCATAAAATTTTAATTTGCATTAATTAACGCGATGGGGAAATTCTAAGCTACTTCCTCAGCAACCGTTGCACGTTCAAAATTGAAGTGGATAATAAAAAAATTCACGCCCTTTTTTTTGGAAACAGTCATTCGTTGCTGAAATTGTGTTGAACCAAAAAAAAAAGGCGAGACTTCGCATTTGTTCAATTTCATAATTAATCAACCTTTCAATCGATATCATCGGAAAAAAATAAATTCAGAATGATACACAGAGGCGAAGCTGAGCTTCGCGCCACTTGCGATACAACAAGTATAGGATTAAAATAGCAAGACACTCAAAAACTATCAAAGAGGACTTCAACCGTTGAAACCCTAGACATAGAGGCAAAGCAGAGCTTCGCAACACTTGCGATGCAAAAACTTATTCCGCTACGAGATTATGAATGGAAAAAGACAGAAGTGAAATAAAACTTACTGAAAATGTTGCTTGAAAAATTTGAAAAAACTACAGCTACAAAAACTTCACGCTTGCTTCGGACGAAGTTCATAAGCAGCCTTAAAAATGGAAATCAATTACCAAGCGGCAACAAAGGCGACAAACTTTGGGTCGAAATCTGTAGAGCCGAAAAAAAAAATTTTTTCTTTAGTTTCAAAAGTTTTCACGACCCTTCAAATTGAAACACATAATCACATACGAATATAGTTTGCCCTCTATTACGCAATATAAGTGGACTTAGTCAATATAACACGAATTGAAGATGGTAAAAAATAATAATTAAGCAAAACGAAAAAAAAACTCGAAATCAGACTTCGTAAATTCACAAGTTTGTGAAAATTCAGTAGTAGTCAGGGCGGTTTCAGGGGGGGGGGGGGGGGGGGGTGGTGGTGGTGCACACGCCCCTCCTCAGCGATTCGACCCCCTGCCGACCCAAAGGGTCCCCCTTTGTACTATTTTGAGATATCCATATTTGGTGACGGACCCTAAAAATTTTCTAAAGGCACCTTGGGCGCCAATATATACTTACTTTAAGGGAGGAGCGCGCGCCAAAAAAACATAATTTTTTTGGTCAAAATTTTCTAAAAAGTGCCTAAAAACGCCTTTTTTGGCCTGTTATTCAAAATTTTGCCTGCGGCGCACAAAATTTGACCAAAACAGGGTCTTTTTAGTGCTTTGAGAGAGCTCGGAAAATCAA